TCTTCTCTAATCAATTACATTTTCTTTGTAGGATGAATTATTAGAGCAAAGTTCACAAGGGACCTTTACCCCTAGTGGACGACAAGATATATTATCCACTGCTATTGGACGACCGGAGCATCCAGGTCGTGTGCGGGCAATTGGATGGGGGATTGGCATCCGACAATATTTTGGCACTCCTAAATTTACCACAAAAAGTGTGGTCACTAGAGATGAGTTGCAGGCCATCGGGGATCAAATTAGGGAATAGCTTCGGGCGGAGCTAAGGCGAGAACTTGTCTCCTTAGGCTTATCTCGGGGGAACACAGGAGGGGGTCAACGAGTGTGTTCCCGTAGCTTCTCGCCACGAGGAACGTGTTAGCACCAAAGGGAGTTGTGCACGGGTTGACGTTCTTGATGATGAGTCAACTCCACTTGGTGAAGACACTCCTAGGCCTCTATGCAAGTTCTTCACACAGGAAGGCTTACTAGTGGCTTATGGTACTGTGCATACATTGGGGCCACTTATACACGGGGTAGAAATGACGGATTCCTTTGTTCGTGTTGTGGTTGAACGGGTGCAAGTTTCGAAGCTCCTGTTCTGTTCCATCCGACGAGGTTAGAACGGTGGGGGAGGCTCCTGGTCATTTCATTCGGTGGCCTAGAGCACTTATCCAGTTTCCTACTGATCAGGTATTATATATGTTTTCTTTAATAATTTCATACATGTTTATAATTTTATTATTTTATCATAAATTTTAATTTAATTCCTTGATGTGTATAGGACATTTGTGCCCAGCAGAAAGGAAAGGAGAAGGGGAAGGAGAAAGTTCAAGAGGAACTAGACTCAGATCCGATACAAAGGTTATGCCTCTTAGCTTATAGGTTAGGAAAGCATATACCTTTACAGATCCAGATGGACCCTCATGTGATTGGGAATCCGCAGCCCATCACGTTGTACTTGAGTCAGAAGGACATTATGGATGTTGTTTTGAATCAAGACATGATTTGCGTCACAATTCTCCAAGTCTGGTTAATGTAAGTCTTATGTTTTTATTTAAGTCAATTGGTTGTATGCCCTATTAGACACCAACTTGTCTAAAATGCAATTAACATGATATTTTCAATTTCTAGTTACCTCAACAAAGTTGTTGTGGAAAAGGGAGTAGAAGATGTCTATGGATTCATTGATCCTGTCCACATTCGAGTTTGGGGAACAAACCAAATACTATTCAAGCATACATTCAAAAGAGATTTTGTGAAGGATCAAAGGAAGTTTATCTCGCACCATATCATTATGGGTAAGTTTTTTTAAATTACTTACTCTCAAACTTTGAATATCTTAAGAATTGCTAATTGAGCGACATTTTTTGTAGGTCTCACTGGCAACTGCTTATCCTTTGTCCTAAACGTAATGAGGCTATTTTTTTATGCTCTTTATGGAATAAACCCAAAAAGGAAATTAAACAGATTATTGATGTGTAAGTATACTAACACCCTTATATATGAATCTGTCTTTGTGACTAAATACTCTAGGTCCGGTTCATGACAGATTTAATAACTGTAAAGATCTCGTGCTTCACTCCTTTGAGCTAAATAGTATCCAGATTTTACTTTTTATATTCATAAGTAAGTACTTCATAATAATTGTGCTTCATTCCCAAATCCCGATCCAGACAACATTCAATTGTTTAAGATGATGTGTAAGTATACTAACACCCTTGTATAATATTTCATTCATTTCATTTTAAGTTCCACATGTCTTAATATGAAGTATTTTCCATTTAATCTTTTATAGGTGTATAGAAGCATGCTCAGTCATGGAGGGTAAGCCTAAAAGAAACCCACATGGATACTTCCACGTGTAAGGACGTTATCTTTCAAATTCTTAACTTTAATTTACTCGATTTTCCGTATTTAATGTTTTTTTTCTTATAGTGTAATAAGCAAAAAGGAAGTTGGGAGTGCGGATATTATGTGATGAGACATATGTTAACAATCATCACAGCAAATATCACAGATTCATGGAATTTGGTATGTGTTATGACTATATCTATGTCATTGACATATATTTGTCTACTTGTGCTTATCTGAAATGTTTTTTTTTTGTTTGTAGATATTCGATGATGGTCATCCAATAAATGAAGCAGAGATTGATGACATTAGACGACTTTGGGCAGATTTTGTTATTATGAACTATAGTCGTGATTGAATACTTAATTGTGAAACATTAGGACTATTTTCTTTGTATATTTAAACTTAGAATACAATACATGTTCATTGTTTGTTGATACAATACAATGTAGATATATAATATACATTATGTTTACTTGTGTGTTGATGCATGTCCTTTATAGATTAACATTCGAGTAGTCGTAAATATTTAAAATGTTGTACGAGTTCGAAAAATCAAAAACTAAAATTCGTATTTAAAAAAATATATGACTTTCCACATCGGTTATGACCTAGAACCGATGTAGAAAGTCATTTTTAATACTTTCCACATCGGTTCTAGGCCATAACCGATGTAGAAAGTCCGATTTTTCACATCGGTTATGGCTAGAACCGATGTGGAAAGTCAGACTTTCCACATCGGTTATGGTAAGACCCGATGTGGAAAGTCAGACTTTCTACATCGGTTCTTAACTGATGTTAAAACTCACCAACTTTCTACATCGGTTGTATCTACATCGGTTGTAGAATCGATGTATAAAGCTGCTAAGAACTGATGTTAAAGGTGTTTTCTGTACTAGTGTATCAAGTAACCTCAATTAACTCAAAAATGTTCTATTGAAGCCCTTATAAAAATTAATCAACCAAGGTTGAATCAAAGAGAGAATATAAAAAACAAATACATTTTAGATAAAATTTGAAATTTTATAATTTTAAATAATAAATTTACTTTAACAAAAAAAATGTAAACCCTTTATCTAAGTAACATATGTTATCATAGAACATTTTAGAATCTTTATAAAAATATATTATCCCTAAAATATTTTCCATCCAAGCATAGCAACAGGGTTTGACTAACTCAGACATATATTTATTCTTTTCCTAAATTTATGTAATCAAAACCGATGATTGACTGAATTAGGCTAAACACTAAATTTTAAAAACTATGTTGGCCATTGAGTGTGAATCCCTTATCTGGTCTCTTTAGGTACTTCTTTGTATCACCAAATAGCTGTTACATTATAATATATGTTAGTATAATAAACAAACCAAAACATATATAATTCCAACATTAAACATAAAATAATACTTTTTACATGCATGCTTCCACATTTAGTTTTAATATTCACTTGAATAATGTAAACATCCTGCATGACACAGTAACTACATTTTAAACCTCTTTATCCACTTCACTAAAATTTCAAAACTTAATTATAACTATAATTTTATACAAAACCAAGTCACGTGGACATTTAAGGATGTAATTATGAATAGAAATTACAAAATGGGTCTGTTCTATCTTTAATCCGCAAAAAATTGGGATGGACGAACTACCTCACCATAGTCGGATGAGAAACAGGCTCTCGATCCGTCCCACCAAAAAGACTAGTTAACGGGTTAATATGTTAGTCCAATAATATTTTTTACATAATTTTTTATATATTTTTTAAAATATATCTTTAATTATATGAATAATTTTTAAGTTTGTATTTATTAATTAATATTTTTATTAGATAAATTAAAAAAATTATTATATTTGTAGGCTAAAATAACTAATTATAATCAATAATTTAAACTTAATTGGTTAATATTTATAATTTAAATTATAATATTACAATATATTTACATATTTCAATAACATGACATAAAAATAATATAATATTTTTAGTTATAATTATTTTTATTTTAATATATAAATATTATTTTAAAATAGGTTAATCAATGTGATGATATTGATCATTAATTTTGAGGTGACTACATAGTATATTATTAATAAATAATAAATAAATATGATAAAAGAATATAAAAGAATAAGAGGTTAAATTTATAAATATAATCATTAAGTTTTGGGAAGTCAAAATTATAAATACCAATGTAAGTTATAAAACATGGAAAAGAAGGGATACCAAAATTATAAATATTATTAAAGTTATGAAACTTTTGGGAGGTTATGACCTCTCGTTTTCCAAAAAGATTAGTCACTCAATTAATTCACCCCATCTTTAATTTTTCGGATTAACGAACTAGACAGGAGGACGGAACAAAATTAGCTAACAAAATAAAACTATCCATTTATCTTACAATTTTTTTACAAGAGTTGACGAAACCTAGCTCAATTTACATAAATCAACTAAACAACACTTTGATATTATTACCAAAGATAGTGCCTCAAATTCTATACATGAATTTTGTATTTGGAAATCTTTGAGAGTACCTATTCATCCTCAATTGCTCATAAAATCGTACAAATCAGTTTGGATGACATTTTTTATGGTTAGAGCATGATTTCAAGTTGGTTCTATAAGTTTTAAAAAGAGATATTGTTTCTTGAAAATTACATGATAGATGGTTGACATGTTAATATTTAAATTAGAAAATGTTTGTATTAATAAATTGGCAAATTATGATTTGAATTCTGGACAAATTTTTGTATGGTGAAATGTTCTATTAAATTTCCGTAGAGATTTCTTTTTTTTTTCTTTTAGAAATCAATTCAGTTCGCCTAGATTTAGATTTAGTTTTTATTTTTATGAGTTTTATTCTAGTCTTATAAAAATTTAAATACCTTTTTCATTTTCTTATATTCCGTTTTTTTTATGTTATATATAATTAAGAAACCATAGAATACCTTCCATTAAAAAAAAAATTGAAGAGCTCGGAGTAACAATGCAAGGAAGAAGGTCCTAATAAAAGTGTGTTGTTCACTCCTAACAATGGCAGGAATAATTGGAAGAGTACATTAAATTACAACAAAAGGTTTACAAAGTGGCTCACAACATACACAAATAATGAGGAAATAAAAGAACCAACCACAAAAATAATGACATGGAGAATTAATGTGTGTAAAATCAGAAGAATGAGGAGACAAAGAGAGTGGACAGGCCAAAAATGAAGTTAGTCAAAGCAGAGGCTTTAATGGCTGAAACTCCATTTTTGTTTTGAGAAGGACTGATAGAAGTATCTGAAGAAGAAGGGGCTGGACCACCTGCATGATTTTATTTATATTAAAGTTATAAGAAAATCCATTAGAGAATCTAAAAACACATTCATTTTTATCTTCGAATCACTATTTTGAAAACCTGGTTGAATAGTTCTAACAATGACTAGTTTAAAAATCGTCTATTATTTTTATATAATTGGATTTTAATTAAATAAAAAAATTAGTATAAAACTGATAAAATAAATTAAATTTTTTGGTTCAACCAATTTCGATAAAAAAAATTTAAGATTAAATTTTTTAATATAATTTTTTTTAAAAGAAATAATATATTTTAATCTTTTTTCTTTATTTCATATTCATTACATTATTTTTAAATAATAATTATTTTTATCATATTCATCTTATTTTAATAATTATCCATCTTATACTCATTAATATATTTTATATTTCTAATATTTATAACTTATTATCGTTATAATACTAACTTTTATTATTTATTTATTTTTTAAATATTATTATTAATAAATTTATTATATTATAAAAATAATATTTATTAAATCTGTAAATCTTAAACTCCTATCCTAACGAATTCCGTTATCCGTACAATTTTAAAAACATCACTTCTAGTTATAAAATTATCTCGTTTAATTCTTTAACCAGTAACTTAAAAATACAGATTAGCATGGATTTTTTTACGGGTTCAATTTCTTTAACTATCAGTTATTATAATTATAAAAGTCTTTCATGGAAAAGAAAATTAGTTTGGCAAAGGCAAAAGAAGCCTGGTATTATGTTGATGGTTAATTTTTTTTTTTCATGAATATAAGTTTAAGATTTTAATTTTTTTATATAATCGTCTTTTTAAAAAAAAAAAGATATCAAACATAAAATAAATTATATTTAAGAATTGTTTTTAGAAAGATGGCATGCTAGTTTTGATAGTTATGAGCTTAGCTTAAATGGACATAAACTTAATTAATGTAAATTAATGTGTCTGCATAAATGTGTTATTTTACTTACATATAATTTTGATTATATTTTATTTGTACTCATATATTTTCACATAACTTCTTCTGCTACATGTATACAAGTACTGAAAATAATAAAATTCATAAAAAAACTTACCAGGACTAGGAGGAGCATTAGTTGAAGAACTGGAAGGAGCACTAGAAGGAGCATTAGTTGAAGGATTGGAAGGTCCTGGAGCTATATCTTCATTGTATTTTAGAAAAAAGAAAAAAAGTTAGGACCAAGAATTGGTTAAAAAAATGCTTAAAATAATGTGATTTTACCTATTTACGTACTAAAGATATTAATAATGATGTTTAATCATAGGTTTAAAACATACCACAGATTAACATTTTTTGTTCAGTATTGGATAATATATGAATAATATAAATCAAATATTTTTTATTTTAAAAATTAGAAAAATAAATATGTATTTAAAATTTAAGAGTCAAAATTATATATTTCTGATAAAAAGTCTATTAAAGCTAAATAAATATTTTCGATGAAGAAATATGACGAGTTTGAAAAATTTTCCTTATTAAAAGTGAATTTTAAATGTAAAGTAAAAACTTTTCTTTTTTTTTTATTATTTTTTTTACTGTTTTTACTCAACATGCAACTGGTTTATCCAAAAATTATAAAAAATAAGTATATTATTTTTAAGTGACTATATTTTAATTAAATTGAGATAAAATTAAATAAATTTTTAGATATAGAGATTTTTATTAAGAAAAAATTAAAATTAAAATTTATTTTTAGTATAATCATTTTATAAAAAATATAATATATTTTAATTTTTTATCTCATATTAATTATATCAACTTTAAATAATAATTATTTTATTTTATTATTTTATTATTATATTTTTATTTTCTAATATATTTTATATTTATAACATTTATTATAATTTATAATTTATATTACAGTCTTAATTTATATTTATAATTTATATTTTAATTTACTGTAATTATAAAATTAATTTTTATTATTTTTTATAAAAAAATTAATAATAAATTTATTATAAATTTTTATATTATAAAAATATTATTTTACTAAATTTGTTTACCTAATTTTAAAAATATTGTTTTTCCCTACCCAATTTCACTAGGTACACTCTCAATCCATGGGATAGCGTAATAAACTGATGGAAAACTTACTCGGTGAAACAGAACCTTCACTAATTGATGGAGGCAAGGACACAGGGACTCCCACAGCTGTCAAATCAGAAATTAACAAAACAAATCCAAATTAAAATGATCTTAAATTTACAAATAAAAAAAAATTACTTGTTCAATGGTACATTAATTTTCTATAACTTTGAATAATTAAATAAATATACTTGAAAAATAAATAAATGCTTTCAGATTTAATCATACTTGCAATTTCGACTTACTAGCAATTATCAAAGTTTTCATTTTCTTTAACTTAATGTTTAAGTTATACAACTTAGTAATTTGATTAAAATAAAATTTACAAACAAAAGTAACTATTACATTACAACCTAGTTAAGTAAAGTTAAATCAGATGTTAATCTAACATTAGTTTTATTTAAAAAATATATATATAAAACTGTGGTTAATTTAATAGAACTCAACAAACATGGGGATTGGAGTTGTTATAATAGTCATTATGGGTCCCACGGTACTAAATTACGATGTTGCTGTTATAGTTGGGTAGTTCCACTCCCTATTTATTGTGAATATGGGGGGCACCATATACAAACAAGCTACTTCTGAGCTGGACAATAACAACCAGCCCAAATAAAAGATAAAGTGGGTAGCATTAACTAAGATTTGAAAACATAATATAATTTTTTTTGTAGGTATTTTGATATTTATATAATTCTATTAAACTCACTACAAAAGTTTTTAGGGTCTTTAATATGCTATTGATTATGGAATTAATGACAAAACTATTAAAAAAATGTGGAAAATACATTAAAAATTATGGTGGGGGTGTATTAATCATGCTTTTAATAAAAATTTAACATCTAATATTTAAGTTAATGCAAAAAATGTAGTGGGTCTTACTTTTTCTTCTAAATACTTTTGTTCTATTTATAAGCAAACCAAGTTTTTTTTTCTTAAATATAAACCGATGTTAACTATTTTTATTTTTATTATAAAAATCTCAACTTTTAATATTGTCTGGCTTTTGATTATTCTATCATAATATGTAATCTTTTAGAAAAAAAATATTAAGATGTTACTAAAATTTTATGTAGTGAACTGATTTTTTAGTATGTGTTAATTTTTTTTCATAAATGAGAACAGAAGTAGTTTTTCTCAAGTTGAATTGGAGTGGTGTTTTAAAAAGTGTTACTAATTCCATAAAGTTAATATATCATTTTTTTAAAATATGGACATAATTAAAGTTATTAGAATTTAAATACATGATGAAAAAGGAAACATGAGGGGTAAGCAGTCCCCTAGTAATCACATGAAGAAGTAACAAACTAGAAACTTAATAAATTTAGTATAAAAACAGTTTTGCTTTTATCCAATTTCCTTCTTGTAGAATAAGTAGTAATTAATATAAATTTGACAGGAAATAAAATTCACAAATTAAAAATAAAAAGTTGCTCCAAACATAATTCAGGTTTTAATAACTATTTAAAAATAGTTCCACATCGGTGGTACTATTAAATATGCTGGCAGCCTCACATGTTCACATCGGTGGTGTCGGTGACATCATAAATGCACTAAATCTTTTATAACTATCGGCAATATTTTATAGAGATCATACCTAACTTATTGGATCTACGCATATAATGAAGTTCTTAACTTTCCATTCTAAACACTCTAATCTTCATATATTTAAATAATACTATTAATATTAATAAGGCAATAATATCGCATCACTAAAATGGTTTGGAATAATAAGAACTATTTTTTTGCTAAAAATAATAAATATATTTAAGAAAATTAAGAAAACTTATCTTCATCCAATATGATAAAACAGATTATTCAGTCCCCTTTCATTTCATATATAATATAGATACTACAGATTTTAATTCATTCTATAAAAAATGAGTTGACAAATCAATAATTAACTCACCAATATATTTTTTATATATATTTTTTAAAATATACTTTTAGTTATATAAATAATTTTTAAATTTTTATTAACTAATTAATATTTTTATTAGATAAATTAAAAAATTAGTATAATACATAATACATTATAGAAAATGAACTAAAACTAGTAACCTCAAAAGAGGAAAAAACCATACCTATCCCAATTTCCCATCCAATCTTTTACATTTGTAGGCTACACAGTTTAATCATAAAAGGTTCAGATGGATTGTTTCTTTCAGCATCACCAATCTTTAATTATAGACTGAATTTGAGTGAAAATATTTGGTGCAACAAGCGTGGCAATTAGGGTTCACTATTTCCCATGATCCAGAACTTCGAAACATGCTTTAACAACAAACATTTGGGACATAAACTAAACTAAGAACCACTGAGAAGATGTTGAAGTTTACCTGAACAGACGCTAACAGGGGGAGTAGAGACTCCACAAATTGAAGGTAGCTTGAGAGCTTTGTTCAAATCAATCGTGACGCCAATAGCGTCAGGTTTACCAAGCAACTCACACAAGCAAATGGGGTTGTTATCAACCAACCACGCCAACTCAGGGCAGCACCCTTTATCTGGTTTTGTCAAATTACTCCCATCTTCTACATAGGTCAGGCAGTCTGACATGTTTGCTAGTGCTATTATGCAGCCATTGCTCTCGGGTGCTGGAGCCGCAGCGGTTTCCGGTCCCGGAGATGGGGCAGATGTGGTGCAACATGCCAATGTAAGAATTAGAGTGAAGATAATGGTGGTGGTGACAGAAGAACTGGTTGTGATCATTTTGCTGTTGTTGTGAAGAATTTTGATATAGTATGTAAAAGATGAGGGTGAGAGAAGAGGGAGTGTGAAATTGAGGGGGTGAAGATAGGTAGATGAAGTTAAATAGAGGGTCTTTGTTTGGAAATGAGGCTCCTAACTTTTGGTGGCTGAAATTAATGAGTTTAACAGCTAACCAACTCTCTTTGAGCACCGTCTCTCTCTCTCTAATGCAACTTCTTTCCTCTCAAAATTAAAGTCGTCCATTACTTGTTCCCGAAATCGTGTGTGAACCAAATTATGAGCGATTTTCACAACTGTGTGGCTGCTACTTTTGTTCAATGTGGTTTAAAAAATCTTACCAGCAAAAGTCCTAAAGAGTTATTACTCTTCTATTATTTTGAAACGAATTCGAAAATTTTTATTATTAGCACTTCTTATAACAAAGTTTTTCTTATTATTTTGAAAAATTATATTAAAAAAATAGACTTTAATTTTTGTTTCGATCTAATTATTTCAGTAGGTTGTCTCGATTTTATCCTAATTTTTTTAGTTAATCATTTTTATTCTAATTTAATTAAAATCTAATTATTTAAAAGAAACTTACCAGTTTCTAGCATAATTCTTAATAGACAATCTTATCCGATTTTTAAAATAATGATTTTTCTAGGATATTATTATAGATTAGGTTAATTGTAATTATATTTCTGTTATTTCAGTTCTTTTTTTATTATAATATTATAGTAATATATATAAAAAGAAAATAAAGTATAAGAAGAAACCAAAAATCATAAAATAAAGATCATTTTCATTTAAACTCACATAAATCGTATTTATTTCTAGAAAAGTTTGTATTTATTTCTCCAATTGATATTGCTACTATCTTTAATCCTGTAAGAAAATTCTGCAACTATCATATGTTTTCTTCCAATATCAACGTGCCAAATGTTAAAAAATAATAGCAAATTATAAATAATTTAATTGAACATTAAATGAGGAAGAGGTGGACTGGGTCTTGTCTTTATTATTAAAGAGAATTAGGCTGTTATGCTAAACTTTGCACTTGAGAATTTGCTCGTGATACTAGAAGATGGTCTCAGTGATGAGGACCAGGTTCTTTAAAATAAAGATGTTATTCTGGAGTGTAAGTCTTCCTCGCGGAGTATAAATCTTCGTGGTAGATAATAATGTCAAATGAGCTAATAAATAAATAAATAATTATATATATATATATATATATATATATATATATATATATATATATATATATGAAATTGTACATATAAAAGGAAGATAGGTTACGTAGAATTCTCTTTAAAATCCTTTTACGAAGGAGAATTGAGATAAATTATGGAAATCTTTTTCAACATTCATTCGATTATGAAGATGTTTATTATGAGAAGTGATAATAAGTGAAATGTCCAACAAATATATAAGGTATATTATAAGAATTGAGGCAAGCAATTTTATTGTCTCGTCACTAGTACAAAATAGGTTTTTAACATCGGTTCTAGAACCGATGTAGAAAGTGTGACTTTTCACATCGGTTGTAAGGAACCGATGTAGAAAGTCTAATATTTTTTTTATTTTATTTATTCATAACACATCTCTAATTACCCTATCTATTGATCTAGAGTTTCCTAGACTATCCTCTCCCTTTTATAACTCTTTTATATTATATTTTTATTATTTATATTTTTTAGGAATTTGAATTATTATCAGATTAAGAGAATTGTTACTAGCAAGATTCTATAACTCTTTTATATTATATTTTTATTATTTATATTTTTTAGGAATTTGAATTATTATCAGATTAAGAGAATTGTTACTAGCAAGATTCTATAACTCTTTTATATTATATTTTTATTATTTATATTTTTTAGGAATTATAAAAGTGTGACTTTCCACATCGGTTGTAAGGAACCGATGTAGAAAGTCTAATATTTTTTTTATTTTATTTATTCATAACACATCTCTAATTACCCTATCTATTGATCTAGAGTTTCCTAGACTATCCTCTCCCTTTTATAACTCTTTTATATTATATTTTTATTATTTATATTTTTTAGGAATTTGAATTATTATCAGATTAAGAGAATTGTTACTAGCAAGATTCTATAACTCTTTTATATTATATTTTTATTATTTATATTTTTTAGGAATTTGAATTATTATCAGATTAAGAGAATTGTTACTAGCAAGATTCTATAACTCTTTTATATTATATTTTTATTATTTATATTTTTTAGGAATTTGAATTATTATCAGATTAAGAGAATTGTTACTAGCAAGATTCGAACCCGATACCTTAGAGTCGGAGGTCGATACTTCAACCACTAAGCTACCAGGATTTTCTCGATAATAATTTATACATAAATTATATTTATATACAAATAAAAATGTATATCCATGTAAATATATAAATATAAAATATATAAATACAAATACAAATATATTTATATATTTATATGTTGGATGTGAGGACGCGCTCGAGGATGAAAGTGTGTGTCGAGTGAATTTTTAAAATTTGATGTCAAATTTGTGAGCGGGTCTCTTTATATGGATTATAACTTAATGACAAAATATAATCTTTATAATTTATTTATATAATGATATAAAATAATTTTTTTCTTTATTTTATATCATTATATAAATTAATTATAAAGATTATATTCTATATTATTATAAATAAATTATAAAGATTATATTCTATCATTAAATTACAAATTCATATAAAGAAACTTGCTCACAAATTTGACATCAAATTTTGAAAACCCACTTGACACACACTTTTACTCTCGAGCGCGCTCTCACATCCAACATATAAATATATAAATATATTTGTATTTGTATTTATATATTTTATATTTATATATTTACATGGATATACATTTTTATTTGTATATAAATATAATTTATGTATAAGTTATAATCAGAAAATCTTGGTAGCTTAGTGGTTGGAGTATCGACCTCGACTTCAAGGTATTAGGTTCGAATCCCGCAGGTAACAATTTTCTTAATTTTATAAAAAGACTTTCTACATCGGTTCATCCGGGAACCGATGTTGAAAGTCTTGAATTCACTTTCTACATCGATTCTTAAAGAACCGATGTGGAAAGCCCGATGTTAAAAGTGATTTACTGTACTAGTGCGTGTCGTGTGTGTCTCAATTCTTCATGTACAGTTTTATATACGTTGGATAAAATAAATAAAAAAATAATAAATTTAAATATTAGTTAAAATATTTTGATTCTATAAATATTTTGGAGAGTTAATATTATGATTCTAGATAGTTATTATTTTGATTATAGGAGTTAATGCTAAGATTTTAGAAAGTTAAAGTTACAGTCTCTAACACTACTACAAAAAACACTTTCTACGACAGCATCCAACGTCGGTTATCACGAAGACCGACGTTGTACAAGACGTGGTGACAAACTTGTAAATATGAAACAAAATTTAACGTCGGTTATCTAATAACCGACGTAGTAACTGCAATTCAACGTCGGTTATATGACAGACGACGTTAAATGTTTAAATTTAACGTCGGTTATGTATAACCGACGTTGAATTCCCAAAATCAACGTCGGTTACATGACTTACCCGACGTCGAAAGCGTTATCCACGTCGGGTTTTTTAATAACCGACGTTGAATGTCCTTTATACCTCTCCTCCTAGGCGCGCTGCCCCCTCGTCTGCTTCTTCTTCGTCCCACATACTCCCTCCTTCTGCTTCTTCTTCGCTGTGCCTCAGTCCTCACTGCTGCCCCCTCGCCGCCCACTTCGCCGCCCCCTGGCTCTGCCCCCTCGCCGCCCCTTCGCCGCCCACTCGCCGCTGCTACCTCATTCGTTGTGGTCTGCTGCCTCAGTCCTCACTGCCGTGCTCTGCCCCCTCGCCGCCCCTTCGCCGCCCACTCGTCGCGCTCTCATCAGGTTAGATTAAGTTGTATGGATGATTTACAACATGCATTTAACATAAATATGGATTATTTAGAGCATTTCCTGCGGAGGAACATTAGAAAGATGATGGATGATTTTGTATATATGGTTTGATTTGATCTAGGTTCGTTTAGGTTTCGAAGTGGTATATGGAACATTAGGTTTCGTTTAGGTTTAGGTTTAGGTTTAGGTTTTGAAGTGGTATATGGAACATTAGAGCATGTATGGAACATTAGAGCATTGTTAGGCAATGTACACGTTTTTTTGTATTGTTTTGTTAAACCTTTTCTAATAAACCTTGAATATCTAGGCAAGCCTTTTTGTGTAGTTAGATGGATCGAACTTGGGTCAATGCAAGTCGTATGTCAGAAGAGTATGAGAATGGAGTTGAATCCTTTTTGAAATTTGCCGAACAAAATGCTCCCAAAATGAATGGAAAAATCTACTGCCCATGCGTTAATTGTGTAAATGGCAGAGTACAAGAGATGGACACAACGCGGGAGCATCTTATTTGCGATGGGATGATGAAGAATTACACCATATGGACATGGCACGGTGAAGTGGTTGATATTCCAACGAGTATCACAAACTATTGAGGATGATGTAACTCGCGAAGATCGAATAGAGGACATGCTTTGTGATGTGGGTCAAGAGAGCTTTCTTGAAGCACATGCATCTATATATGATACATTGAGGACCGATTCGGAGACACCTTTGTATCCCGGATGTACAACTTTCACACGGTTGTCATCTGTGTTAAGATTGGTCAATCTAAAAGCAAAATTTGGTTGGAGTGATACAAGTTTTAATGAATTACTCCAACTTTTGAAGGAGATGCTCCCAGACAATAACACCTTGCCGGACCGTATGTATGAAGCGAAGAAGATACTATGTCCGATGGGTTTAGAATATAGGAAGATACATGCTTGCCCTAATGATTGTGTGTTATACAGGAAAGAATTCTCATCTTTAGACCAATGTCCAACATGTGGTGTATCACGTTACAAAACGAAGGATGGTGATGATTGTAGTCAGGAGAGTGGTAAAAAACGTCCTCCTGCAAAAGTTTTATGGTATCTTCCAATT